TCCATGATGCTTATTACTTCTGACGTGCTGTTGTCTGCGGCTTAGTATCGTTTCTGAAGACTTTTTTTCCCCCCCAGTCTAATGCTCAGGGAAAGTTAATTTATGGCTCTTCTCCATCGTCCGGGCACGATGGCGCACAAACTCCGTGGAATTTGACGCCCAGCTTAAGAGCTGTGACCGTTATTTAGACAAAGAGCATCCCTTTCTATTTATTTATTTTTATCCTTCCTATTTATTTGTCTCCGTCTGCGCCCATTTGTTTGGTTGAATTGTTTGAGAATCGTCCCCAAAGCGCCGTGATCCCAGTAAATCGGCTTTCCAGCGCCTTTTCCCTTCCCTGACCTCGAAACGCCTTTGATTCCGGACACACGGGGGCTGATGATGCAGCAGATCCTTCCTGTCTCACCTCTGCGCGTGTCCCGTTCCATCTCTGCGGCACCAGCCCCGGAATGCGCAGCCTGACGCGCAGCCTGAGCCCCCATGGCCCACCTGACGCCTTCACCTTATTTATTTTCTGTCACAATGGAATACTACCTTGTTTTTGTCCTCCACAATACACTTAACCACCGTGTTTTCTCCCACATCCAATCCTCCACTCATCTTGGAGTGTTTGATTATTTGTTGCTGGTTTCTCTATGCTGTTAACGCCTATTTTAGATTATGTAAAGCCTGTATTAAACATAAATAAACATGTCTGAACGTGTCTTTTCCAGGACTTCCACCTGGCTCCTCGCTGTTTTTGCTCTGGTGGCTTTGGCCGAGGGAAGTGTTGGGTAAGTTTATTGCTCCAGGAAAGTGAACCGTCGGGCCTAAATACAAATCAAACCACAAATTAAAAAGATACTCACAGTGGGATGACCTCTGTTATCTGAAACATCGGCTCATCGTTAATAGAGCCTCCATGTCTGACTTATTTCCTGCTCTGCTGAGGCAGAAATCGGTGCGAAAGACATCTGTACAGATGTAAGGCAGGAGGGGAGATTTCCGTTTTAAAAAGGGACAGAGGCGATAATAAATAAATAAATTGAGAGACAGAGCAAAGCTCCACTTGAAAGCAACAGAATATTAGTGTTCAACTGTAGACATTTATTTTAAAATTGAAAGAAAAAACTAAATAAAAATAAATGTCAAGTTCATTGAACATAAAATCCAGAGTGTTCATACTTAAAATTCTTAAGTTTGCTTGAGTTATTTCAATGAGAAAGATGAATGAATATTATGAGTGGCAGAATAGGAAGAATTTTGAGTGGGCTCAATTGGTAAATTTCATTTAGTTATAATTTGAATGTACATTTGAAATAAATTCCAAATATATAAGCTCTGTTACACTCAAATGTTTGAGTTTCAGAACTCTAAAGAGTTGTGCCAACTGATTACCATACTCTTTTTTTGAGAACTGCTAACTTATTCAGGTCTACAGTGTAAACTGGTGACCACGACCTCACACAGGAGCTGTCTCCTGAGAGGCCTTTCCGTGTGGCGATGTTTGGACTTTCCCATTAAACCGAAAGGCTTTAGCTCCGTTTCCGAAAATCACATGTGAACCAATCACGATCTGCTTTGTCGCAGGCCGAGCTCCAACACCAGCTTCTGCACGGAGTCCAAGGAGTGCCTGGAATACGATCTGGTCTGCAAAACCGACGAGTATGAGGTGAGCCGTGCTCACCGGGGGCTCCCTGGGGCCCCGCTGGGGATCCCTCAGGGCTCCCCGCTCACCCCCGGATCCGCTTCCCGACCGTTTCAGGTGCGACACTACAGCCCCACCCGCTGGGTGTCCACGGACGCTGAGGCCTACTTCATGGGCGTGGGCGCGGCCATGGCGTTCAGGAGGCTTTTCCAGTACATCACCGGAGCCAACGACGCAGGTCTGGAGAGGGAAGAGGGGGGTTAGGGGGCAAAAAATCAGGTGGGGTCGAATGCGACCGTCTCTGTTTGAGCCGGTGTGTCTCCTACAGGCGTTCAGATGGAGATGACCGCCCCCGTCCTGGTGAAGATCCCGGAGGAGACCAAGATGTGGGAGCCGGCCGTGTACACGCTCAACTTCCCCCTGCCGGCCGCCTACCAGGAGCAGCCCCCCGCCCCCACCAGCGACAAGGTGAGGAGAGGGGCCGGCTAATGCAGTTTTGTTTGGCTCCACAACCACAGTTTCCTGTCACGATGCCGTTTGTCCTCCCAGATTTTTGATTTGGATCACTGCTTTTTGCATCGAGCTCATAAAGGATCAATGGTGCATGTGGAGACTTAAGCTCTGACTCCAGGACTGTAAAGTAGAAAAACAATAGCGCAGGCTCGGGTGGATATTCTGTTTTTATTACTGCTACATAATACTTTGGGAATAGCAAATGGGTGACCTTTTCTGAGTAATCAGCTGGCTCGGCCCTTTTGTCCAGACTGGTTTTATTCCCTGTAGCCAAGCAGCTTTTAGCGTAATTGGAGCCCTGAGAACATGGCGTAGAGGACACTGGATTTCAGATATTCCCATTAGCTCAGCGATTCATCTGAACCCAAAGTGAAATGAACAAATGAGTGTGTTGCTGTTATGTGTGGCGGGCTGAGTCTGGATCAGACTCGGTCCTCGGCTTGTCGGTGGTGTGCTGTGGCTGATGCTTTGTGTCGCTCTAAAGCTGTACTTCACCGAGATGCCGGAGATGGACGTGTACGTGAGGAGCTACGGGGGCTGGATGCTGTCGGTCACCTCCCGGCTGCACGCCCACGTGCTGACCAAGGAGCTGGAGAGAGTGGACGCGTGCTACAACCGCAGCTTTCACTATGGAGTGGGCTACGACAGGTACGGCCAGCGTGCCTTCGTCCCCTCGCAGCTCTGCAACTCCGCTCTGGCTTCCTGGAAACGCATCGCAGTCACACTTGGCTTCTTTATTTCTGTCCTCCATCTTTAGCTCTTATTAAGATTTACCTTTATGGCTCTGTTTGCACTCAAACAGCAGATTAAGTAAGATATCTATCTATCTATCTATCTATCTATCTATCTATCTATCTATCTAT